CCAATCATTGTGGATCATGCAACAACTAAGCGACTATGTGTGACAATACAAGTGCCATTAGCATCTCAAAGGATCCGGTCATGCACTCTCGTACAAAACATATCCATATCCGGCATCACTTCTTAAGAGATTGCGTGGAAAAGGGACTAATCAGACTGGAACATTGCAACACTGACAAGCAAATTGCAGATATTTTCACAAAGCCCCTGGGAAGAGAAAGGTTTGAGATTATTAGACTCGAACTTGGTTTAATTAACTCCTAAAAACCGGCTTAAATTTTTTTTTCACTCTTCATACATATATATCCTGGTGTTCTTTTTAAACAAAATTTTTTTTAGTAATTCCAGAACCAAATATTGTGTGAATAATTTTAAATATGGCCTTATATAGACCTTATTCAAATTTGAAAGCTGTTAGGGGCGAATGGTTTAAATTAGGAAGATTAATAATTAGTCATCATCATGATCGTCTCTTTCCAAGAAAAGATACCTCCAGATCTTTCGCTTCTCCCAAAGCCATTCGGCCGCCCACTTTCCAGTCTTTTCTCCTTCCTATTTTAATTACTTTAGACTTTCCTTCCATATCTAACCAACATGGTTAAAACTAAGAGGTGTGCTACACCACTTCGTCGCTCAAACCGAACCACTCGAAAGCCTCCATCCTCCACCACTCCAGCCCAAATAGATCTCGAATCCTCCTCATTCACCACCGCAATGACAACAGCGGGTCAAGAGGTCAACATGCAAGAAGGTTCCCCCTCCCCTGCGTCATCTCAGGGGGAACATGACACGGAGTCCAAATCGCCTCCGGCCCTCACCCCCTCGTCACTGACCAAGGCAAAGCGAAAGCCTATGACTCGCAATGGCAAGGCTCTCCCTCGGAAGGTACCACGCACAAAGGCAATAGCTCTGGGAATCATTCCCAGCAACGTACCAGTCAAGACATACCCCAAACTAGGTAAAGTGGCGGAGGCAGATGCGGCCAAACTCAAGGCGGATTTCCTCACTAGAAACTATGTCAAGGTACTCACTATACCTTTCGAAACCTTCTCACAACTAACCACTGAGTTCACTGAGTTAATTTCCTTCCAAAAATGGGACAACCTATTTGACTCAAAATCTTGCCTTCATGTCCACCAAGAGTACATGTCTGAATTTCTAGCCAATCTGATAATTAAGGATGGTGTCATGGTTTCTAGGGTTAAGAATACCAAGTTGTTGTTTGATCTAGAAGATTTAGGTGCTCTGTGGAACATTCCCTATGTCGGAGAAAGTGGGTACCATAAACAAGAATGGCCATTGACCAATGTCTCTCACCCTGATGCCCTTGCTTACTTTAATTCCTCTGATGGGTCGTCCCTACATGTAGCCAGCTTGGCTCCCATTCATAAGCTCGTGTTTTACTTTGTCCACCACAATCTAATTCCTAGACTTGAGGGTAGAAGCTCCCCATCCAAAGTAGAACTTGCATACATGTATCTCCTCGCAAACAAAATCCCCATAAACTTGCCTGGTCTCATTCTGTCCCACCTGAGCTTTGCCATAGGTTCATCCTCTAGGAAAATCGGCATTCCCTATGGTCCTCTATTCACCCAGATGATCATATTCGGAAAATCGCTCTGGATGATTGTCCCCCTATCAGCGTCAACAAGGTCCTGGACTTAAAGGCCCTAAACACTCTGGGGATCATGATTCAGAATTCCAAACTGGTCAAAATGATCCCTAAGGAAGCCTCTGCCACAACCTCCTCTGACCCCAAGAACTCTAAGTCTAAACCTAAACCCACCACTGGTCTTTCCCATGATCCAATGCACATTGTTTCCCTCATCAAGGATCACCTGGATTCAGTTGCCAGCTCCTTTAAAGTCAGCTTGCTACCTATTCAGAAACTCTTTCATCCCTAGCAGGAAAGGTGGATGCTCTGGCCAGCGAGGTACAAATCTTCAAGAAAGAAATCATGCTGAAATTGGAGGACCCTGACACTGTCCAGCGAACGATTGTTCCTTCCTCAGATGATGAGGAGGATTAAAAACTTTTCTCTAAAAATTAACTGATGTGGGTTTTCGGAACACATTGTAATGTTACTTACACTGCTACTTACCTTTGGGCACTGTTTTTGGTTGTTCCTGTTTCCTTTTGGTTGATGCCAAAAGGGGGAAATAATCAGGTGCCTTTATTTTGCTACTATGTGACTTGATTATGCTGCATATGCTACTATGATTTATTTTGCAGGAAAGGCACCTATGGTTTGTCATCAACAAAAAGGGGGAATTTGTTGAACGTGTTGTTTTGTTGATGACTAACCATGCAGGAACAATAGATAGACCTGGTCCTTAAAATATATGCGGCTAACCATGAAGAAACCAGGACTAGAACCGCTCTCGGTTCTATTCGAGGCCTTTATTTAAATGATCATTTGAAATCTATGATCTTCCATGTTCTGTGATGTTATTCGATTATGGCTTGCATAGAATTATTACCTTTTGGGATCCGTAGCATATTTTGGCCTTACAAACGGTAACACTAATGAAAAGGTTATTCAAATAAATTGAATCCACTCCTAAAAGGGTAAGAAATCTTTATAGCTTCCTTTTACAAAATGTTGACCAAAAGCTTCCTTTGGGAAAATGCTTCCGTATTTAAAGATATGTCCGTTGCTTATATTCCTTATATGAGAATTCGTAGATCATAAGCAGATCCTCTCTCAATCGAGACTAAGTTGGAAAGATCCATTCGAAGGAAAGAAATTCAAGATTACAAAGGAAAGAAGGGCCAACGGATGTCACTCCTACAAGCTATATATTCGACAGCGGCCAAAAAGAAAGGGTGAGGAAAACCGAGAAAAATATACTTAGAAGAATCATTCAAGAAGAGATCAAATCCTTGGCGCCTGAAACAGCCTGCTCGGAGTTCTAGATAGAGTTTCTCTTTTCCCTTTCATATTGTACTTAGAATATTGAGGCTTAATTGGCTAGAGTAGCTGCCTCGGGTTAAGTGTGTGTGAGAGCTTTGTGATAAAGCTGAGAGGCTCTCTACCCGCAAGGTAGAGATGCATAACTCTTCCTAGAGAGGATAGAGTTGGGGAGGCTCAAGGGTAGATTAGGAGAATCTCTCTTGTAACTCTTCCAAAGGCTTGTTTAGTGAAGTTGTTTAAAATTCCTCCGAGGGAGGTCGAGGTTTTTTAATCCCTTTGAGCCAAGGGATTTTTCCTCGTTAAATTCTTGTGCACTTTACTATTTAGCTATTCCCTTTATCCCACACTAGAACTCGGCGAAAAACTGCCACGGTTCCACACACACACAATTCACCCCCCCCCTCTTGTGTTGCTAACCGTTTTCATCAATTGGTATCAGAGCCGGTCTTCACCACATAGAGGTTAATACCTTGGGAAGAGATCCGGTAAAATGAACACGGTTGACCGATTGGAAGAAGGGTACTCGACTCAACGACCACCATTGTTCAATGGCAAATACTATCAATTTTGGAAGAGTCGGATGGAAAACTTTATCAAGGCCGACAACTACCAGGTTTGGAATGTAATTGAAAGTGGTGATAATGCCATCACAAAGAGAAACGCCGAAGGTAATGTTGTTCCTAAACCTAAAGTTGAATATACTTCTGAAGATTATGAGAAACTCGAGCATAATGCCCAAGCCCTTAAATATCTAATTTGCGGTCTTGGTCCTGCTGAACACAATCGGGTTCTAGGATGCAAGACTGCCAAACAAATGTGGGATTTGTTCGAGGTCACTCATGAGGGAACCTCACGTGTAAAAAAATCTAAGATTGACATATTCATGCGTAATTACGAATTATTCGTAATGAAGCCAAAAGAGTCAATTAAGGATATGATTACACGCTTTACTACCATTATCAATGAGCTTTCAGCCCTTGGAAGAGAAATTACCGTGGAAGATCAAGTGAGAAAGATTTTGAGAAGCCTGCCCCAAGTGTGGAAGCCTAAGACCACGGCTATAGAAGAAGCAAAGGATCTATCCACCGTGACGCTTGAAGACTTGACTGGATCACTCTTGACATATGAACTAGGTCTTCAAGAAGAACAAGATGCCGAGAGTGGTAGACGAGAAAGAGGAATAGCTCTAAAGGCTCGAGAAGAAGAAGAGGAATCCGAGAGTGAATCGGATGATGAGATGAGCATGTTTGCGAAACAATTTGGAAGGATGTACCGAAAGTTCAAGAACAACTGTGCCAAACAAGGTAAAAGAAATACCCAATCCTTTAATAACCAAGGTTGTTTTGTTTGTGGTTCCTTTGACATAATGTGACAATTTTTTTCGTCATGTAAAATTCATTTTTTGTCACTAAAACTTTTACGTGACGAATTTTGATCGTCACAGTGATCGTCACCGTAGCTCCGTGGTATTAGGTAAATGTGACACATTTTTGATTCGTCACCAAATAAATAACATTAAATGACGTTTTAGCACTTTGTCACTATTATTGATCACTTTTTGTGACGCTAAATGTGTCACGTTTATAGCATTTTTTTGTCACTGTAATATGAATTTCGTCACCAATACTTGCACAATAAATGACGAAATCTTAAATTGTAAATAAAAAGTAATTTATGGTGACGATTCATACTATTCTCTAGCTAGTGTTCGGACTTGAAGTGACAATAAATTTGTCACAATGAGGTTAGTTATTTCGTCATAGTATTAAAAAATCGTCATTAATTAGCATGATTTAGTTACAACTTTTTTCGTCACCTATACTATTTATGGTGACAATATATAGTGTCACGAAAAAAATACAAATAATGACGGAAAATATTTTGTCAATAACATACTTCTTTTTGTGACAAAATTAGTTGTCATGACTTATGCATGTATAGGTGACGATTCATTTTTAATGACACTTACTTTTTGTAACATTTTGTACGCAAAATGTGACAAGTGTCATGCAAAATAAATGTCATTAAAAGGTACAATGACAAAAGTAATTTGTCATCTCTTATGAGTTAGGAATGTATAGTGACAAAAGCAATTCGTAATTGTGGCAGGGTAACGAATCATTTGTCCCAAAACCCTAAACCGTTTGAATTAATAAATGTTAATTAAATAGTAAATAATAACCGCTACTTAATGCTAAAACAACAAAAACATTACAAGATTCTGTAGTGTAAATTCTGGGGGATGGGACCAATAAAAAAACTGACTAGCTAAATAGTTTTAGAGCATTCTAATCCTATGCGGAAACCGTAACATACTTCCAACTATATAGGAACAATAAATTAAAAGCAAAATTTATAAATTCATTCCTTGGGTAGCCATAAATGCCATGATCTTCTCCATTTTTGAATCTTGTTGCTTCATTTTGGAAGCTTGTTGAGCCAACTGGTTTCTCAAGTCAAACACCTCTTTTTCAGTATCTTCCACTTGAATTTTGACTTTTGAGGCCATCAAATTGTGTTTCAGAAACTTGTAATTTTTGTTGTTTGTTGAAACTCATTTTGGAAGGTGCTGAGTTTGGAAGTGATTTGCACCGTTGCGTCTGCTTCGAGGTTTAGGACCATACCCAAGGCCTTTAATGTATCCAGATCCATGACCAAGTACCTCAAGAACTATATCATCAGTGCTCTTATCACAACCTTCCTCTTTATATTGTTCTTGTTTCTTTTTCATCAACTCTTAATTGGATAAATTAATGGCATAAAATAACATTACTTCTTGTCATATAAAATATTAGTTGTGAATAAAATAAGAAAAACAGACACATAACTTACCCAATTTTCTTCTGCCACCTTAGATGACCAACCCTTTTTCTCAGTAAAATGAGTTTGTTTATACAACTCAATTCGATCACAAGAATCACCATTTAGCTGCTTCTGAGACTAGATAAAAACATTTAGATTATCATAGATAAAAAATTTAATTAAAGAAGAGTATGTTAAATTATATAAGAGAATACATTGATCCGGAAAACACTAGTAGCAAATTGTGAACGTATATAGTCAAACGGGGTAAAGATAATAAATTTAACTCACAATTTCAAGTCGTCGTACAGTGAAGGATTTTCTGCTTGAAATATGTGGCGCTCGCACCAGTTTCCTATTTTCCGTGTTCGCAATACTTGATTTCTACAAGTTACAAATATTATAAGTATTTGTCTTTGCAAAGCTTTCGGTAGATAACTAACCTATGTTTTCGTTAAGCACCTTGAATTTATCTGTTGCAAAGTAATCACACAACAACTCCCAATTGTTTTGGTCTGGATAAGAAGATGGCTTATTACTTTTAGCCAATTCCAGAGTTTGAAATTTCTTGTAATGAAGATGTAGCTTGTAACGCTTTTGTCGCGTACTACATTTCAGTCTTTCAACCAAGCTTTCTTTGACACCCGCGTCATCAATATTGACATCCATATGCAACTGCATTATTTTGAAAGCATTTTTCAAATTACAACAAAAGTAAAAATAACTTATCAATATAAAATTACATACCTGCATGTGATCAAATCCAGGAGCCAATCCATTTTCTTCATCTACTTCTTTCCACCTTCTAGGAACAAGAAGCACATCGCGAGTAATTATACCGATTTGACTTGAAAGCTTGGCTGACTCTTCTGCGTTCTAAGGTCTTCCAATTGACAGATCAACGTTTATCTTCACTTTAGTCTTAGAAGCATCACATGCCTTCATGATTCTCTTTCCCATTGTTTGACCACGTACTCTTTTAATAAGGCGTGAAGATGAATCTGTAACATGGTTGTTTAAGAAAGGGAATATTTCCCAGCAGCCAAATGAGACAAACTATTGTTTAGCTTAATCTCTCATCTCTTATCATTTTTCTCTTTTCCATACTCTGTTTTTCTCTCTCTTTTTTTTTTTGTGTTTTCTGTTTACCACTCCTACTTTTGTTTTAGCCCTGGAAGAAGAAACAAACAAACTATTGCATGAGTTCAAGAAGCTAAGAGACAGAACATATTTGATAGCTACTATTCAAGTATTAATAGACATAACACTTATTTCAGTCCTTATCTACTATGTTTTGTCTATGTGGTGCTTTTATACATTACTCTTGTAATTAAGGTGGGAGTATAATATATTAAATTGATTAGTGTAGTTAGTACTTTTAGTATATATTAATAGAGTTCCATATATTTCCTAATATACCTAAACAGTTTTATTAAACTTCCATCCATGCAGACAACTAAATGATATATATGTACTGGTTCTTTTGGTTCTTTCCATAACCAGTTCGTTATACTAAAATGCAAACATGTATCTATATATCAGCATTTAACTTCCATCTTATACGTAGTATTCCATTATAGATTGCATGAGTGCAAAAGATTGCTGGGGTGAGTGAATTCTACTCAATAAAATACTCAATACACAAAAATGTGTTATACCTCCAACCCCATTTGATTGTGGTGTTTGACCATGCAGGCTCTCCATTGATACAGATTCAGAATTTTGATTTGACACAATGTCATGCCTTGGACTTTGAGGATGTCGAGTGTGAGATGTTGTGTCATCAGATGCCACATGCGATTTGTCAAAAGGTCTTTTGGTCGTTGCTCTTGTAATCAACAAATTACCTTGACCACTCTTAGAACCATGATGTACAACATCTTGTTTTCCCAAGTTTATTTTCCGTTTTGAGTTATACCCTTAAATTCAGGAGCCATTCCTAAGACACACATATATAAAAGAACAAGACTGAAATAAATACCAACTAAAACTATATCTACACACACTGTACAAAATAGTTAGCCACACACTGCACTAAAGTTATATACTAATATGCGTATAGTCAATTACATATGCACTGCACAAACTAGGCTCATACATCAACACAGACACTCATACATCATACAGAACACGCTAAAAGAATAAGCAAATTTTCAATTCAATACCCTCTCATACTGGAGAGAATGAATTGATTTGTACTAAAAACAAACAAACATGTTTGATAAAAGATTAATTGAATAAAAACTCAAACCCCTGAATTTATAAACAAACCATTTGATAAATTTAATGATTAAAACTGCCTAACTAAAGCCATTGTATGTGCTTCATGTATTATATTGTAACTCAAAGTATATTATCGAGAATGATATAAATCAGTTAAAAAGAGAGTACCAATCTGAATTCTTATAATACAATACAATGGCAAAAACGATAGATGAGTTTACACTTCCCGTCCACAATGAACTACACATATGAAGGGTAAAGATAAAAATTATAAACCTGCGTTGAAAAGTAACTTGAAGAGCACCCCACGAAAGAGAAAACTCTAGGAAAGAGTAAAAACTAGGGTTGAGATATTGTGTGAAGGTGTCGAGAATTCAATTATAATAGAGTAAATTTTTAAAAGACCGCCAAAACCCAAAAAAATTGCGCCCAAACTAATTTAAGATTTTGTTGGTAACTGTAAATTATTATTTTATTAATTAATATTACTAATAAAAAACTGAAGATTATTAACCAAAATAAGAGTTGAGATAACTCAGATACGAATCGTATGAATATGTATTTACATATTTAGTAATTTACTATCAGGGGTAATTAACAAATTTTCAGTATACATAATTTATTATATTTATTAACAAAATTATTCCCTCCTACTTCAAAACACTACTCCAGCTCCTCATCATCCAAATGAAAAAAAATAGAGACAATTACAAATAATTAACTTCATTTCAATGCAGTTTTTTTACTTTATATCAAATATTACGTATTTTTATAGAAAAATGAATAATATGCAAAACAAGGAAGACCAAAACATACCATTCGTGTAGAGCTTTTGAAGAGTATCCTCATCTTCCCCAAAATTGCATCACAATAAAACTTCGAACAAGCTACATAGTAGAATTAATCAGTCCAATATAATAAAACTTTGTTTGGGGTTAGGAGTTTTTTTTTTTTGAGAGGGTTTGGGGCTAAGAGTTGTGTGGTGGAAGAGTGAGTACTCTCTAGAACCTAGGTGAAAGGATTAAATTAAATCAACAAAAGAGGAATATAGTAGAATTAATGCCATAAGTTGTGAATGAGTCTTCAATTTTAATTTTGGAAGATGGTTGCACGTTGGGATCAATTTTATACACTTTTAAGTCTGATCAAATCTGCTCTGAACTCATCTGGTATAATGAATGTTTTTTTATTTTACTATTATTGAAGTTTAAGATGTTTTTTTTGAGTGAAATTTGCTAGTCTGGTTTGGTTTGATTTGGTCTAGTCTGGCTTGTTCGAGTTTGGTCTGATCCGGTCTAGTAAATATTTGGTTTCTATGTATTTTATAAATATAAAAGTCTGGTCTGGTATGTTTAAGTCTGACATATTCTAGTCTGGTCTGTTTAAGTCTAGTCTGATTCGTATAGTCTAGTCTGATTTGATACGATATATTAAAGCTCCATCAGGTCTAATTTGGTATGATCTGGTCTGGTACTGAAATTAGTATAATTAATTAAAAAAAAAAGAAAACTGTCAAATAGATCCTTCTACTTTTACGAAAAAGTCAATTGAGTCCTCGAAGTTTTTCACGAATCAATTAAGTCCACGAAGTATTAAAAAACGACCAAATCTGCTATTCCGTAGACCGTAGGTCATCTTCAGGTTTCCCAGTTTGTGCCTACGGGGATGTCTAGTTGGCCAATTTTTAATCTTTTACTTTTTTTTCTGTATCTCCTTTCTTTTTTTTCTTTTTCTTTCTTTTTCTTTCCCAAAGACCGGGCCCGTCCGCCCGTATGTTTCTCCCCCCATTTACCCGTTCTTCTTCCCCCAATCCCCTGCATTTAATCGGGAAACCGGATGATGACCTACAAAATAGGAGATTTAATCATTTTTAATACAAAATAGTTAAGTTTACTTGACTCATTATGAATAAAATGATAAGTAATATGGGGTCATAGTGTCATTATCTATTAATATTAATGTTACTTATACTATCATATAACTTTTCGTTTTACTTTTGCTAAAAGATATTTTTTCAAAAAAAAGTATGACACATTTATGTTGATCGTCATCAAAAGGTAACATTAATGACAAAATAAAATTGTCATTATTTTACAAAACAATTAGTGACGAAATATGATTTTGTCATAATAATTAAAAATTACGTGACACAAATTATCGTCATTAAATGTTTCTAAAATGTCATCAAAAGAATTCCCTCCAAATTTTTGGCGTCAAATTTTGGCGCTCAAAATTTAAGTGACAAATTTGATTTTTTGTCATAGTAAACATCAATTAGTGACGAAATATAAGACTTAAAATGACGGATGATAATATTGTCATAACATAACCTTTTATTGTGACGAATTTGAGTTTTGTAACTATTAATGCACATAATATGACAACTTTTTGTGTGTCACATATTTTGTTGTCATAAAAAGTGTGATTTCTTGTAGTGTATGGATTTAAAAGTCCATTGACTTTTTTAAAAGTCCATGGATTAAAAAAAGTCCACAACAATCCATATTGAATACACCCCCTTAATATGCAATTGAAATATTTTCAGTCTTTAAAAATTAAATGTTACTAAAGAACATATAAGAATATCATTTTTACCAGTCAAACATATCTATAATATCGGGATGTGCATTTCCATTATATTTTGAAATGAGCATAGTGCAAGTAGCAAATGAGCAAAAATTACTTACAAAATGAGCATTAAAATTTTTGAAATCGCACTTATGTCCGGATGTTATGATCTCATTAAATAAATTAAGTATTGTATGCTCATTTGAAATTTTAATTGTACTCATTTTTTATGTCATCTCGATGCATGTTCATTTCGATGTTCATTTCTTTTAAACGTTATACTGTTAAATGTCCCACACCGGAAAATTGAGAAGCACTAGAGTGCTATATTAAGGTTCGGGCTACTCCTCCTAACAGGTTGACCTTTTAGGATGGAACCCCATGTCTTAACATGGTATCAGAGCCAAATCGATCCATGGTGTGGGGCCCCTTATGAAAAATGACGACACGATAAAAAAATTGATGAACCGATGAAAAAATGAATGACGACACGATCCAGACGAAGTGTCTGGTCGTGAGGAGGGGTGTTAAATGTCCCACACCGGAAAATTGAGAAGCACTAGAGTGCTATATTAAGGTTCGGGCTACTCCTCCTAACATGTTGACCTTTTAGGATGGAACCCCAGGTCTTAACATATACGCATTTGATTATAATATAAAACTCATTTTTATAATCGACATGTATCATATATTCACCACAAACAACTTAATAGATAAATAGACTTAATTACTAATCTTTTTTGAGCAAGAACTAGAGGGCTTATATTGATAATAAAACATTCAGCAAAGGATACAAACGATAAAGGAAACACTTCCAACCACCAACCCTCGGACGAGCTGGAGAACCAACCACCCTGGATAGAGCAATATGATTCGCTTGTCCTGTAATGGGTCTAAATGAGCCAAACATGGCCAGAACGAAACCCTCATCACCCCTACCTAATGTAAAAGTCTGACAGAATAAAGTAACAGTAAAAGAAATAAACATAGTCTGATCGAAAATAAAAAAGCCAACCGCAGCAGCAGCATGAAAATTAAAATGCATCCTTATTCTCCCGAGAAACCTCCATTGAGTTCCCACAGTCCTAGTCGCAAAAATTCTCCATGGCGGAGGTTCAGGAGGGGGACGTATCAGAACCTCTTCGTCTACCTTCACACGTGAGCTCTTGTTTGGAGTCCCTTTCTCATCCGTGACCTCCTCGTCCAGAAACAGGCCTACTTCACCACCTTCGAAAAACCTGCTATGGCCCTTGCTAATCATCCCCTTCATATCCGGCTTGCCCACAGACATTCCAGATTTGCGTGTGGCCGAATCATTGCATCCAATTGACGAAAAAGCAGCAGCCTGCAACTCCTTCTCGAACTCCCCAAAGCCGAATTAAACCCTTGTCGTGAAGAAGAACCAGACCCCAACCCCGCCTTCACCTCTTCCTCAAGCCTATGAGACGAATTAAGATCTGGAAATTACCGGTGGAAGAAAGACGATCCAAAACGTAGTCAAAATCTCCGGACCTGAGCGACTAAACGCCGCCGCCGGCAAAACTAGCTAGGGAAAACCCTAGAGACGTCCGCAGCTCTCCCCGCAAATGGGGTTATGATACCATGACTTAATTACTAATCTATAAATAGATTCAGCAATGAGAAATATAACAAGTTTATTAGAAAAAAAAATTATAATTTACCATCTTTGACATATAAGTTTATTGTGCTTGCTTTATACTTTTCCACTCATGCACATTAAATTAAACATTCTACTCATTTTATTAAAACACAAAACTCATTTCAATAACTTACATGTAAGTTTAGCACATTACATCTATACTCATTTTGGCATAAGATAAAACTCACTTAAACCATTCGTAAATATAATATACAGAGTATACTTTATACTATACTAATTTTACAACTTAATATCGATGCTCATTTCTTTTAAATGATATGCTCATTTATGTGTAACACAAAATTCATTTCAATATTAACATGGAATAAACACATTTCAATTCAAACTAATAAAGTTAGCTATGTTTCCTGGTTTATCATAGAAAAATGTTGGGAAAACATATTTCAACAATTTTACAGAATGTTTAAACATCAAACTAAAAAATTTACATAAAAAGATCTAAAATTTAATAAAATCGTATAATTAGAAAAATCTTGGTAAAATATATTTTAGATAGCAGATTTTATGCAAAACAAATCATACTCATGTTAACATCTTATACTATACATGTGCATAAAACAATAAAGTAATTTATCAAGAAAAAAATGAACATTCACTTTGGAATTTTTTCAAACACTTGGTGGACATTCAATATTTAGGAATCAATTTTAAAAATATGGAGAATTACTAATGAAAGAGGGAGAAAGGTTTAAATCAAATCGTCATATCAATTGGTATATTTTGAAATTCACACAAAATGGAATCAACTCTTGATCTATCAGCTCTTGTGCACTCATTGGTTATTCTTGAGTTCCCTGAAGAAAAGTAATCATATAACTCCTTCGCCCAACAAAAACTTATGATCCATAAATAACCTTTTGTAGGAAAGTAAATCGAATACTCCGTATTATTGATATTAAAGAAAAAAAGAAGAAAGTAGAAAGATTCTTGATAGCAGCAAGTCAGACAAAGGCAAGGAAGGAATAGCTGGGAAGTACGAACGAACAGAGCAGCAAGCACTCTAAGGAGAACATAACACCTTACCTGTACCATGCCCTAGGTACAGCCGGCTGTACCATGCCCTAGGTATAGCCGGTTGTACGGTATAAATTACCATTAGTGCATACAAACAAGTTACTCACAGGAGTACCATTGTACCAAGTGAGGGTTGCATTAGGAAGACGTGCACAATCTATATTTAACGAACAACATTAAAAATCATTAATATTTTTATAAACCTTTTTTGTGAATGTTAATATAGGTACATAATTGTGTGGGTGTCATACTGCAATGTACATAATTGGTACATATCATTAAGTTATCATTTATTTTTGTTTAAATTACCTAATTGTAATACGGAGTATTTATTAGTTCAGATGGATAAACTACGGTATACGGAGTAATGGAGTATGTAACTTATATAGAATTAGGATTTTTATGATGATCAATATGACTCACATTATGTTTTCATCTCGTTTGATAACTTATGTTTTCATCTTGTCAGTCATTTAGTCCCCTAATCAGGCCCTTGTTGACAGAACTAATCAGCATGCCAAATTATCTCACATAGGAAAGAAAAGTTTAGAAGTTTTTCATACAAAGTCCACCCAAAACTAATCACCTCCTTTTATGCAGATTTTTGTTCTGGGCTTCTGAGTGACTTTCCTTTAATTTTGTCCAGATTAAAAAGCTAGCTTATATGCAGATATCACACTTTTGTGCAACACACGAGTTACTCTACAAAGACAACTAATTACTTGTCCTATTCTATCAAATTAAATAATGCCCTTTCATGCATGTGATTGAAAAAGGATCGACCAAGAAATGAACAGAGCATGCTAGTTCGG